TCAATAAATTCAATCTGTGAATTGATAAAACGTTTTATTAGTAACAATTATTCGTAGGAGTGATTATTAAAGAAAATTTCTGATGTAATTGCTTATAAATTGTCTGTACATATGTATGTACGTTCCTATCGTCTTGCATTTCATTGGATCCAACCCAAAACAAAAGTTGCGCGGCGATACCTGCGCGAAGACTCAGTTTTTCGCTGAGTGGACCTACTGGTTATACTGTGTCTCAACTGAGAGCAGGCACCACAATAAAAAAGAAGAAGAAGAAGAATGTGCGAGAGAGAAAGGTAAACGAGTAATATTCGTCCTCTCTGTGCATGCGTCGATCATTCGACAGACAGAGAGGACGAAATATCACGCTTTGACTATATAATCATAGTCAAAGGTATCACGTGGTATCGCTCATATATTTTTCTCTCTCGCACTACTTGCCACTCTTGGACTCACTTGTGGCTTACAAAAAACAAAGGTGTATGAAAGGAGTCCGGAGCAGAGAGATACCAATAATTGTAGCCGAGATATTCTCGATATAACCAAAGTATATATTCTTGATAAAGTCGGTTAGAGACACGTGTATGTATTTCGGAGTACCGTATCCTTCTCCCCGAGTGCGGTGCTCCGGTCGCAGATCGGAGCTCGTTCCCTCCATTTTCTATTCCATCTCTGCTGAAAATGTTCGATTAAAACCGATTAAAATATAAACATAATCCGTTTTAATCGATTTTAATCGGTTCAATCGCGCCCGGATTAAAAAGTAATCGGTTTTAATTCCGAACGAATTATAATTGGTTTTAATATTACTTTTGTGGATAATTTCCAATCTGAAATCATTATATTCTAATCTATATTGTTGTCAATTCAAGTAAATCCAAATAACCGTATGGATATATAATATCCAAAATAATCCACCTAAACCGTATATATATTTTTTAACATCTAAGTTTATTTCAGTTACAAAAACACTGATTCAATAAAATCGATTGTAATCCGTCTAAATCCGATTCCGCTAGGAAAGA